GTGGTTTCTTGAATTAGATTAGCAGCCATGTGTCATGGTTTATTGGGTTACCATGTCTCCTGAAGGCATGAAGCCAATACAGCTGCAACATCCACCCTCTGTGTTATTTCAAGGCAGGCAGACATGATGACAGTTTCTCACTGACAATTTACTTCTGGCCCTATTTGCATTATTTGTGGGTTTCATTGACCTTTTTCGCCTCACATGGACTGTGGTTCCCGGTCATTTGGAAGCGCATAAGAAGGAATCTGCACAGCTGAGATAACAAAACATTAGGCTTCCACAGAAACACTTCATCATTGTCCACTGAAATAAACCCAGTAATACAGAGTGGGAAGGAGAGAAGGTTACAAAGGCGAAGGGAAAGATAAAGCCATTTGTGTCCCGCTCACACACCTCTCTCTCCAAATCCCTCTCCCCTGGGTTATAGGCAGCTCACAGTGTTGTGCTGCTTTTATCAACAGGAAGTGGCACTTTACTACTCAGAGAGGAGAACATGTGATTCATCCCTTCATATCCCTTCTGTCCACTCCTCTTTGGATCTAATTTCACACTGTTTACAATATGTGTTCACATCTTTATGTAGAGACATTATTTGATTTATCGTTGCAAATGTCCAGACCCACTAAAGAGGTTTACCAGCTGTCCTTTTTCTCAGTTGAGTGGTGTGCAATACTATATAAATCAAGATACACATCATGCAGGTTTCTGAATGATGGTGATTATGATAAAACATTGAAACAAGTTGTTAGATTTCTTTTTTTTTGTAGCTGAAACACAGTTGTTTTAATGATTTTTAAATTGAACTTACAGTATATATTATATTGTTTCTGGTGGTCAAAGGCATATGAGTGTATGAATAGTACACAATATCTGGCACAGTATCATAGTTACAAATTCAAAACGAGTAATTGAAAGAATATTAGGGCAGAGAAAAAACACTGTTTCTGTTCATTTTGGGCACAAAGTATGGCTGTAAAGATGTTGATAATTCTTAGTAATCTGAGAACAAATCAATCAATACAATAAATAAAATCCAGAACTGTATAAATATCAATGATTGAAATCAGGTACATGCTCTATAACAGGTTGTGTGTGATGCAACTAAAACATGACATAAAGCCTTCCCAACAAAAGGTGAATAACAAATATACATATTGGTCTCTTCATGATTTTACTCAAGGCATGATAATGAAATATATGAAAAATGTGATTGGGCGGGCTACATATAGGAGGTCTGGCTGACATTATGTAACTTTTAGTGCTCATGGATTCTTCTGGTAACAATAGCTTAGGTATTTTTTTGAAATCCTTTTATTAATCACATGCTTTAAGTTCTGTCAAGTCTTGGGTCTCAAATCTTGTCAGTCCACTCTTCTTGACATTTCCTCTCTGTGATGTAGTACCGCGACTGTGCGTCATGATTTACGAATGTATCCTTGTGTGAGCTATTCCACCAATTCATCCCAGGAAATAAATGAACATGAGACACACTGATCTTCACTTTCTAGAATGATCCCATTACTAGTGGTGCTCACTGAGCAAGGGACAGGTTTAATTAACTTTCCAAGTGGCTCCCAGGTAAGAGAGAACACATCTTACACACGTTTCCTGTCCCTCTTCGGTTTATGAGACCACTCAATCCTCAGACATCACACACACACACACACACACACACACACACACACACACACACACACACACACACACACACACACACACACACACACACACACACACACAAATGAGCACATCATGAATAATGTATGTGACACAATCCCTAACAAAAGCCGGTTAAACATAATATCAGGTTTGCTGAAAAAAAAAACTAAAATGGCCAATTAATTTGATATCCTTCTTCACTACATACATTCATTGTTTTCATTGAAATGTTTTCATTCACTCAAAAAGTGTGTGTGCTCTGCATGTGTGACCAATAAGAGGGGTTTCATCCCTCCAATTCTATTCTATTCTATTCATATCATTGCTCTCAACAAGGTCGAAATCTTACTGTGTACGCCATTCAGTAGAAAGTTTGTTGCCCTTGGTGCAGTGATACATTCACTTTTTACATCTGTTTTTTAGTGTAAGCCCTCTGGCTGATATCAGAATAGTCGTCCTTCAGATATTATCGCTTCAGAAAATAAAATGGTTTATTACCTTTACATACAGTATTAGTTGTGCTTTGAATGTGGTAAAAGACCTACTGTATGCACATAAGGGTTCAGTAAGTGAACTCAGAGGGAGGATATGATATATATTATATTACAGTAACTCATAGCTACAAATGGAGAAAAAGCTACAGTATAATGGCCCGCAGAGGTTTCTTGAAGCGAGCTCAAGCAATGCCACTTAAAAATGAATAAAAAGTATTTGAAAAATCACACAGAGAAGCTAATTGCCTCATTAAGCTGGGTATTACATAGAGTTCAAAAGGCTCTTTTAAAGTTTAACATTGAACCAAAGGCAAATTAAAGAGCCTTATTACAAGGCAGAGAATTGATTTATGACTGTATTGAGCGATTGCCTGTTGGGGAGTTTAAAAATGTGCAGCCCAAGGAGAAGTTGGAAAAAAGAAAAAGAGGAGGTCTGATGGAAGCAGGGTTGTGCTTCCACAATAAATTCTTAAAACTGATAGCCTCGAGGTTGTCAAAGTCAAAATTACAGAACTCTGTCAAGGACAGGGGCAGAAACTTAAGAGTGATGGCTTAGCAACAAGTTTGTTCTTCTGCCAGAGTGGATTGAATTATTATGTTCCGTTAAAGTTTAATGGGATTTCAGCAGCCTTAATATAAAAAGGGGAACTGCAAGATGAGCCACGGTGCTTTACTCCTTCCTTTATAGTTTTCTGCTCTCTGTACCAACTGAGACGGGATTACAAGGCAGGTCGCTGCCAAATAAACAGCTGAGTGGACACAATGTTTCTCGTTCAGTTTTGATTCACTGGCTGAGGCACGTTAAATCATGTTGCAAATCACTCCCAGGCAGACACAAGCACACCAAGTTTTAACGCAATAGCATCGCTGCCATGAGCAAAGACATTAGCACTGCTTTTCCCCATGAGGTTTAATTTAAAAGTAGTTAGTCCACATATTGTGATGAAAAATCACTAAAAACACGAACTGTTGAAAGTGCACCTAACATAATGGCCTGCATCACCTCAATATGTTCATGTATGATTACATTTATTTTTCCCCTGAGCCTTTTGAAAATGAAAAATTGAAATGTTTTGATGAGTCACTTTTCCTCATACAGTGGGTTAAAGGCAGTTTATCTAAAATATTTTGATCCTAGAAACACCTGCTGAATTGAGATGTCTTAGTAGTTGATAGGTGTTCATTTTTATGAAACAGGAACACTCATGTGGTAGATCTTATCAAACATGTTCAATGGATAAACGATTTCTCATTTTACTTGTATAATTTGCTTCAACATTTGAAAGCCACGATGTGCAGACTCAGATACTATGAAAAACTAATGTTAAAGCCTGGATGTCAGGGATGTTTATGTATGCCAAAGTATTGGATGAGGATAATTATCTAATGATACCCTATGGAGTTTTCCTTGAAAACAACAATGCATGTTTCTCACCATTTTAAATGGATTTCCCCATCAGATGCATTTTCGATGCTTTTTTAGAGTCTGGATTGTTTGCACTACCATGATATTGTTTTTCACCTCATATCCCCACCTTGCTTTTCTTTCTGGCCTTACTCATGATGTGATTCATTAACATTCAGAGGCAGGTAATCACAATTAAACCCGTGCTGTATTTGAGAAATTGCAAGAGTGGTTGTCTCACACTTGAATTGTGAACAGAACACATACAACACACATACGAGCCTGGAGAAGCATACTATCCAATGTTTTAAATTGTCTCAAAACACAAACAATCTTTAAGACATGTTGTACAATGTAATTACAGAGTGTGTCACTGACATTTAATAGCATTAAATAGAAAATGACACCAACACAATACATTTGACATCAATACCAATAATATATATAGTTATATTTGTTCTTTTTTCTTCCAGTATGCAGAGAAAAGTCTCATTCAGCACAGACAGACTAATACAACATCTGGCTGTTAACTACTGCAAAGCATGCAGCAACACGTGCATACATTAAAGGTGACCTATCATGCAAAATGCACTTTTGTATGTCTTTTATACATAAATATGTGTCCCCGGTGTTCCAGGGAACTCTCCAAGTGTCAGAAAACACAACCCTCTCTATTTTCCTCCGTACCCAAATCTACGCTACGGCTATTGGGCCAACTCCACCAATCAGGAGGAGACAGCCACGGACATTGCCGTTCGAAAGCGCTGGAGACGCTGTAGTACATTATGCCAGGCCTGTAGATGGTGCTGTTCTCACAGAATCAGCCCATGCAAAGACAGGGTTAAATTGAGCGAAATGAGGAATGGCAAAAATGCATGATCTGTTTGGTATTTTGAAAAATAAAAAGTATAAATATGCCTTATATAGGTATGGTCCAACACTATATTATTCAAATATAGCATGATAGGTCCACTTTAAGTACGGCTGAAAACAACTTGCAGCAGCCTCAGAAGCGCACTTATCTTCAGCCCTGCTTCCATTATTTATGCATTCACCTGTAAGATGGGTATACAGTAGGAAGTTTGTTAAGCAGAAGGCAAAAACTAAAATGTTCAATAAAAGTCACAAGCCAACATTGTACATCAACTAAACGCTAACTGCTTTTCAAAAGCTGTAATATGCAAATTGGATATACCACATGGATCAACACTGCAACAGCTGTTCTATCATAACATAACTATACCATTCCTGGCTGTGTGCCTGAGCCTACAGTATGTGGATGAATTGTCTGGTTCACTTGAATGAAATACCTTTATTCACTGATATAGCCCATTTAAAAGCCGTATAAGTATAGAGTAGGTGTTGAACTTGCCCTCAAAAGATGTATATAGCAAGTGTCAAAAAGGAAATGATCCAATACAACTTCATTCTCCTTTTACTTGTATTCATATTGCAGGGCAGTGAGTTTGCATTTGAATCGTAGATGAAGCTGCCCTCTATGATTTACAATCGTATTTCAAGACACATCTCACAGAAAACCTCCAGCTGAATTCAGTGTGACCCGTACACTCTGCTGTTTACAGTGTCATGGGCATACAAATGGAATCTAGCAACAAAAGGTGGAAATTACTTAAAAACCTTACAAAGAAACATTCAAAGGTAAGCCTCTTTGTTATGTTTGTGCGGACACATTTATAATATCCTTTTGGACTGGCACAATGGACATAAAATAATAGAGAGAGGATGACAGGTTGTCTTCACAATGAGCAGTGAAAACTGCGCCCCTTTTCAGCATCAATATGGTTGTAATTATGCAAATCCAGCTTGTATCTTCATTGTGTTGCCTCTTCCCTTGACCCCCTGGTGATATTACAATTATCTTTTTAATTTGTTCAATACATTTCAATACAAAAAATAAATAAAGAACCATGTTGTTGGTTGCAAAATGCACATGAGCATTAAAAACATCTATCTATAACATGGCAATGGCTACACCAGAGTCAAAGCGCCCCTTCATCTGAGTGATTCGAGCAGCTAGCAGGAGCAGCAGGCCAGTGGCCACCTCCAGGCTGTAGGAGAGCCAGGCTGTTGCTAAGGACCAGCCGAAGGACACGTTCACATGGGCGAGGTTCTCTGGAGACACCATCCGCTGGAACTCCTCCATGGCCAGGTTTGAGTATTTGATGTAGATGCAGACCCCAGAGAGTGTACAAATACCTGAGTGCACAGAGACAAACAGATGGAACCATTAGTAAAACGCTGCTCAATTAATCGTATTTTAATCGCAACTAGTTTTTTCAATAAATGGATGTTTTCAAAGTAAATGGATAATCGTTTTTAATAATCGTGATATCAATTATTGACCCAAATAATCGAGATTATGATTTTTGCCATAATCGAGCAGCCCGAGTAAAACCTCACAGATTTGAACTCACCTGTAACATGGAAATGGATCAATCTTGAGTAATGATGATGAAGACCCTTAAACTGCCTCGTCAATCACCATCATCCTCATGATGTATTCAACCTCAGAGATTCTACAATGGTGTCGCCTAGGTGATAATGCATTAATAAGTAAATCATCTTTTCCCAACATACTTGACTCAATTGATGGTGTTAAATAATATAGACTTAAAAAGCTTAATGAGTAACTATTAGTAATAATAAATGTTATGTGTAGAGTAATAATAAATTGTATTTGTATAGCACCTTTCATGCACAAAGCATCCCAAAATGCTTTACAGAAAACATAACAACTATATTAAAATAAATACAGAACAAGATAAAACATCTACAGTGATCCTAATGAAATGCCCGTGCATTAAAGCTGACAAGAAATTGAAATATGTTAAAATAAAACAATTTAAAAAATAAAATAAAAATTTAAAAATAAAAGCTAAACAGAATAAATACAGTAAAACATGAAAGTTGAAAGTTAACCCAAATTAAAAGCCATATTAAAAGTAGAATCTCAAAGTTAAAGATTAAAGCCACTTCAAGAAATACGATTCTCATGGATGTGCAAATTATTTGGCAGGTTTATTTTCAATCGCTATGATCATTTACTCTTCTTTTTCTCTTAAAGGTGGGGTAGGTAATTTTGGAGAAACCGGCTCGAGTGCGCTAGAATTTGAAAATATACAACCGGAAAAAATCTGCCATTTCCTTACAGAGCCCCTCCTCCAACACACACGAACGACATGACCAATGAGGGCACGAGATAAGTTTGTGCACAGATGGAAGGCTGACAGGCAGGTAGGCCATCCACTTATTTTAGCAGAGCCGGCTAAAATGATTGGTCGTGCTTTTTACATCGCTACGGCTTTCACAGATCTTTTTTTTTAATGTATTTATTGTCAAAGCATTTAATATACTCATTGCTATCGGGATGTTAAGAGCATTCAATGGAATATAACAAAAAGTGTTTCTGAAATAAATGACATACCCCACCTTTAAGTTACCAAACAGAACAATTATGAGTCTTGATAAAAAAATGGCTGTGCTTTCCAAAACAACTAATCAATAAGATTCAACCCAACAAGCATTTATAGATACTGAGTAGTCACCACTATGCTCACATGTGGCACCATGGATGCCAGATCACATCTCTCATCTGCTGCAATCAACCCTGGGCAATTATAGCAATCGGAGAGAAAAAATCAACACTGAGTTTGTTTCTCAATGCCTCTCCTGTAGTGTGCGTAATTGGCATGTAAGCGCAATTGGTAGGAAGGTAGAGAGGGGAAAAAATAAAGAAATGTTAGCAAGTACAAATGTCATGAAAAGTGCTTTGGGAGGCATACAGGATTCTCCATTATATAAAAAGCTTGCCATTTCTTTTCACATAGTCTTAACAAGTACCAAGGAAAACTTGTATTTCAATACGAACTTCTGGGTCAAATAAAGGATACATGCATCGGCATAGACTAAACGTGATGTTGTTAAACTACAGTGGTAATTGAAGTCTGCTGGAAGCAAATGAAGTAATTCCATCGATTTGTACAGACACTCAGGAACACTGTCTGTCTTACACTCAGTTGCTCATTGATTAGCGCTTCGTATGGGCGCATGCATCAGACTTCAGCCTGGATTCTCAAACTCAACTACATCAATGAAGGTAACTGGAGGCATTGCATGTTTTTCATTTAAAAAATATATAATCTTCAATCATTGGCAGAGGGAAATTAGCTTCCCCAAATCACTGTTTATTTTCTCTCTTTGCTAGATTGTGTTTTGGCAGCAAGCTCTAATGAATTTGTCAAAGTCACTGATATAAAACCAGAGCTTATTGCCTTTAAAGGAATAGTATCATCTTGTCAAAGTCAAAGTCAGCTTTATTGTCAAAATTACTACATGTGTTATACATCCAGAAATCTCGAGATATCGTTTTCCCGCAGGGATTCAAATGAGATATCGCTCTCATATTTGCCCTTCAAGTATGAAGAGCAAGAATATAAGCATAACATTAAGATTATAAACAGAGGGAAAAAGCTAGCATTGCTCTGCCCAAATATGGTAGAGAATCTGCCCATTATCACCTCTTAAAGATTTAAAGGGGCTTTCCTTAATTATTCCTTTAAATGTGTAGGCCCTTCAAGTCTTAGTATCCACACAAGATAACCTGTCTTCCAAGAAAAGGAGAGTTGCAGTGAATGGACAAACCCATCAGAGGCCTGTACTACGAAGCCGGTTCAACATAACCTAGATATGTTTGAGTTAGCCGGTTGGCCTAATCCAAAACATATGCGCTCTCGCTAAGCGGTCCTACGACGTGCGTTATCAAGTGGATCGCTCAAGCCAGCCGTGCCCTATCTAGTTAGGTGCGCGTTCACATGAAAGGGGTGGTATTTGGAGCATTCGACCAATCACAAACATGGACAAGCGTACTGACAGCGCAGCGTGTCATACTTCCTTTACTATAATATTAGACAAATATGAAGAAGTTACATTTTAAACATCCATGACTCAAACACTTTATCCAGGATAAAAGCCACATAGTTGCACCTGCAAGGTGAATAAAGCTGGTAAAAGAAAAA